ATGGTGGATTAAACATAATAGGCCTCACTTGTTTATTGACAGGTAAATAAATGTTTATTGACTATAATTGACAAGAGAATGATAAAAATAATGGCCACCATTTGCTGAGCACTTACTGTGGGCCAGGCACTGAGCTACGTGCTTTATGTGTATTACGTGGGATAGATGCCACAAAAAAGAGACATCTGTCTGGCCCCCATAGGGTTTGAACTAATGACCTTGTTCTCTTAGGTCAACAGTTTGAAATTCTCCTTGAGACTGTTTTCTAACACATCACCCTGTGTCATCCTGATATTACTCACAGTGACACTATTACATGCGTTACTTAAGAACAGATAACATTATTTCCTGGACTCCATATGGCCTACTCAAGTATCATAGCTCAGTTACCAAAAGTGAATGATAGTAATTTTAATACTTATTATTCTTTCCCGTTCTGGCCTAGAGTGGTCACTTTGAGTAACTTGTGAATCACCAACATGGTCACACTGGGCTTATAGTGGAAATTTCACATCTACTTTAATTCTGGAGAATATAACAGATAATATGTATCAACTTTATAAAGGGAACTGTATTTAAAAGAAGATGGACATGGGCTCTGGGGTTTCCCAAGTTGATCCACAGTATTAATGAAATTTTCATGTTGATCCATCTGTGACGTTATCACCCAAAGTAATAGACTCATTAATGATTAGTGTGGGTTGGTGACACTGTAAATACCTAGTGCTTTGTGGCACTGTTTCAGTTGAAGTAGTGTTGGTTATAGTAGGACTATTAAAACTTAGAAGCACTAAATGAACAGAGTCACATTTTGAGATTTTATGCCTGTATTTGCATGCCTAACACCATCTCAAAAATGATAGAAAATCTCACTATAAAAAATAACACATTTTTGAAAGCAGAGATACCTGCAAATCCCCGATACTAATCAGGTGATCCAGTACTGAATGTCTACTAGATATTGTGCCAGTGGATTAATTCACTTTTAGTGTTCAACTGCTTATTCTAAAAAGGAAGCACTTGAGCTTACAATTACATATTACAGAAACAAATTGTCACTGCTAGCTGATACGTTTTAGTAGAGCTAGAGTTTTACATAAAGTATTCATGTATTAAAACATGCAAAGCATATGTTTTGGGTTTATAGTCAACTGATTCATTGCCTAGTGTTCATTTTATTTGTCTGGAGATTGCAATGTGGAAACAATATTTAAAGACTAGTTGCATTTTGAAATCCCTCTTATTTGCAGTTGCCATCTTAATTAAGAACTCAGCTGCATCCTAAATTGTAAACACATTTACTGTGGATTTAAAACCTACAGTACAGAAGAGCTTTGTTATTCAATATCTTTAGTACAGTAGAGAGTTTTCTTCTTCCAGTTTCTGCCCCTCAGGACTGCATAAAAAAAAATTCTAAAAGAAAAACCAAAGAGGAACTTCCTGAGACCATGCTTGGTCCTTGGCAAGTGTGCCGTGGTCTTCAGAGAAACTAGTGCCAACACCCAAAACATTAGAAAACTTGAATCAGCTCAGACATTTGCTGTGACGTTTATTTTTTCTTTTGTAGCAGAACTTTCCAATAGCAATTTTTATTAAAAGTCAGCCTTTAATGTTGAGTTTTCTTTAAAGTATAAATATCCATCATTAAATGACAATGTTTTTCTGACATTTTCTTTTATAGTGTTTTGGTGAAAATTAAAGAACCAGCAATCGTAAGACCTGTAACTTGTGAGGGAGGGAACAGTGACCAGATCCAATAAAATAAAGCAGAGCTTGCAACTTCTTTGTTTCTTTAGGGAAAAGATTCTGAGTCATTTTAAAATTAAATTATGATAGTACACCCGGTAAAGTTAGGTCTTGGTGACAGTTTAAACATATTTGGCATAGCATTCTTTTAAGATTTTTAACATATTGCTCAATTTACTGTGGAACAAAATTAATGTAAGTATCCTTTATGTCTGGATACTCTTTTACTCCTTCCTGGAGTACTGTAATTTCAGAAGTACTAATTTTTAAATTCTTTTGATAACTTTAGCCAATAGTATCCTAACACCTAGATGTGATCTAAGTTTGTTTTTTTGTTTTTTGTTTTTTGTTGTTTGTTTTTTTTGTGGTCCATTCTAAGACACATAAAAAGGACTGGGAAAATTTAGAGGGGGGTTTAGATTTTTCTCCTTTTTTAACCAGAGTTTATCTTTAAATTAGGGAAAGTTAAAAATCATGTATTTTAGTTGTGTTACTCTTGTATTATGCTGAGTCTGTGGTTTTCTGGGTAGCAAAGTCACACTGAAATGCTAAAAGAGCTAATGAGATGGCAGGGTTTAAAAATAGAGGCAAAACATTTTCATAAATATTATAGTTGATACCCATCTGTACTTGTGTTATTTTTTGGATTGTTAACACTGGCTGTTCTCAAATGCATCATTACTAGTATATCCATCAGTCGGGGTTGGACTGGTAAAATAGCATGCCCAGTTAGTAGAATCTATCTGCAAGGAGATACCTATACAGTTCAGAATTCAAATGTTTAATTCTCCTTTATATACTGTTCATATAATAGCCAAGGAATTTTATTCCCTTGTGTGAAAATTGACCCACAGATAAGTATCTTCGTTTTCTAAAACTATGCAAAGTGAAAGGAAGACAAATAACATAAAACCATATCCCTTAAAGAAGTGGTCAGCCAGCCTTCATCTTTCACTCGTGTGAAGTTGGCTAGTCAGAAGTTCACTGAGGAGATGAACGTCTCAGGACTAGTTGGAGAAAGACGTCTGACTAAAACATAGATGTCGAGAGTCTGGAATGAGTGCTTTCCACTTCGTTTCCGTTGGAAAATTAAATTGAGCATAGCCATCTTTACAAAGTAAATAAGAGCTGGTCTTTCGTATCGTCAGCCCTTCCTGTTACTAATAATTACTTAAAAATTGAAAGCCATGGCACAATGGGAAAAAAAAAAAACCTGGAGGAGAGAGCAGACATGGGTGTGCACAATTAATTGCACACTCACATGTACTCACAGACTCCTTTGGGCTTTGGGAGTGTGACCCAGCATGAGCAAAGCCAAGATGGATTTCCATTCACCGATTAAGCAAATATTTACTGAGGAGCTAGTATGTGCCAGGCTTCATATTTCTTGTTGCTAATAACCCTTTGAATTTTCAGGTCATTTATTTTAAGGAGGCAAAATACAGTTTGCTGTTTTCAAACCCAGATACTTCTAACTCGAGAACTGATGTTGATTCTTTGTCTAATGAACTTGAGAATTATTCAAACAAGTGGAACTGCTAAAGGAAGACATTTTTCCTTAAGACTGATAACGAGTCCAAACAGTAACCAATATACAAAATCTGACTGATTTATTATAATTGTAATTTATCTTTCCAGTAAATGGGTACTTAAAATCTATTTAAAGTAGATAGCCAGTTGTTGTTGTTAGGTGCTGTCGAGTCTGTTCCAACTCATAACAACCCTGTGCACAGCAGAACGAAGCACTGCTTGGGCCTGCACCATCCTCATAATCATTGCTATGTTTGAGCTCATTGTTGCAGCCACTGTCAATCTATCTCATTAAGGGTCTTCCTCTTTTTCACTGACCCTCTACCAAGCGTGATGTCCTTCTCCAGGGATGTCATGATAGCATATCCAAAGTACATGAGACGAAGTCTCACCATCCTCACTTCTAAGGAGCATTCTGGCTGTAATTTTCAAGACAGATTTGTTCATTCTTCTGGCAGTCCATGGTATATTCAATATTCTTCGCCAACACCATAATTCAAAGACATCAATTCTTCTTCGATCTTCCTTGTTCATTGTCCAGCTTTTGCGTACTGGTGGGACTTGATAAAACCTAACAAAGCCTCCTGTAGTAGCTTCTTTGGTTAATATATGATTCCAGTGGAAATTCAGTAGTTGCTTCTTTTCAGCTTAGGTAATAAATTAGCTATTTATTTTAAGTGAGGTAGTACTATCAGTAAAACAGATCAATTTTATCAGGATGTATTCTTCAGACTTCTCTTGTTGTAAGAAATGGGAAATGGTTAACAAGAGATGAGAGTGCTAGTCAGGTTTGGAGAGAGTAAGATGAGCTGTGAGGCATCTTGAGGACCGTGTACAGAGTGGGCTTCCAGGGGGTGGCGCAGCGCCTTACCACTGCAGGACACCCATCTCGCTCTGTAATGAAGACTAAATACCCCATTTGAATGAGCCAGGGTTAGTGTGACAAGGCAAGGAAACCTTATGAAAACCGTGCGTCTTAGTTACATAGCGCTGCTATAACAGAAATACCACAAGTGGGTGGCTTTAACAAACAGAAGTTTATTTTCTCACAGTTCAGGAGGCTAGAAGTCCGAATTCAGGCTGCCGGCCCTTAGGGGAAGGCTCTCTCTCTGCCGCCTCTGGAAGGAGGTCCTTGTCTCTCTGAGCTTCTGCTCCTGGATGATCTTCATGTGGCTTAACATGTGTCTTCCCCCATCTCTGCTCTGCTAGCTTGTTTAATCTCTTTTATATCTCAGAAGAGATTGACTCAAAATATACCCTACACTAATCCTGCCTCATTGAGATAACAAAGACAACCCATTCCCAAATGGGATTATAATAGCATAGAGGTTAGGGTTTACAACACATATTTTGGGGGTACATAATTCCATAACACCCTTTATTATTTTGCTCATTTTTACAAATCTTGGACTTTTTTTTTTTAAATTCCTACCAAAAAAGGGTCCTTCTGACCATATTTCAGCAAAAACACTACAGTTTAGTTGGTCTAACCTCGTTTAGCTTTAGCTTTTCGTTTGCTCTTGGAGCAGAGACCAAATAATTACCTCCAGTGAGGTAAGCGTGTTACTCCCCCATCCGGGTCTCAGACATAAGAGTGTATTCTTCTTTTGTTTGTTTTCTAGAGAACTTTAAAAAAAAGAAGTCATTCCCTTATGATTCCGGTTTTTTCTATGTTTGTGGTCACTGATCTCACAGACTTGTTCCCCCTCTGCCTTTTCCACCAGTTTACTTCAGTGTCCCCAGCAGTTCCTGAATTCTTGAAAACTCCTCCTGCGGATCAGCCTCCCACAAGGTCCTCAGCTCCTGTCCTCCCCACAAACACTGTGTCCTCAGCAAAGCCTGGGCCAGCACTGGTAAAGGTGGGTACCCTGGACACACACTGGCTTGAGTATCTTCACTTGCAACTGTGGTCCATAGCCCTGTGAACCAAAAGCAACTCTTCATGCACTTACCTAAGTCACTCAGCCTGCAGCCTTGAATATGGAACCACAGAAGAACTTGCTAGAACTCAGCGTTAATGTTTGAAACTGCTGCCTTACAACAACTGATCTGTTGTGCTATCGTCGAAGAGAAATGCCACAAAATTTGGTCCAGATAACACTCTTGGAGTTCTGCAGAAAGGTTTCTGGGATCATTTTATCAGTCGTTCCCAATTCTGTACCACCCCAGCCACTAAGATGAAACAAGGAAAAAAACAGAGTAAGATAGTTGCTTCGGCACAGCATTTGTGACTCAGGAGTCTCACAAACAGATGTCTTTAATGGTAACACGGTTTTGGAGTTTATACACAAGGTCATACTCAGTGCTATTCCGGATATATTACATGACAGGTTAAAGGTTTTAGAGAAGCAAGTACGTTTTCTGATTTTGCAGATTTGGCCAGATGAAGCTTGGTTTGTTCTTCAGATAAGCTTCAGATCTGTGGCACTGTTCCCTACATTTTTCTTCGTGGAAATAATTCACTTAGAATAATTCCAAAGGAAGATTAAAAATGTTAATATATAGTACATTTTTTAAAGTTTTTATTAAAAGTATATTTAGAACTGCTATACAAAGGGAGAGAAAAGTAAACTGAGGAATAGTTTGATCATTTCAGATGTGGTTTTTGCCAAAACTAGGAGAACATAGAACTTAAGCTTTTGGAGCTAAGAAAGGACATTAGAGAGCTAGCTAGCCCTCTCAGCTCTTCTCAGATGAGGAGACCGAGGCCCAAAGAAGGTCAGAAGTAACAAAGCCAGGAAAGACCGCCGTCCCCTGGCTCCCAGTTCAGCCTTCTTCCTGCCTTCTCCATCAGTTGCAGCACTGTTCTGAGGCAGGGGGTGTCTTTCAAGTTGGCGTGGTACGTACCCACACTTCTCTGTGTCTGCTGGGATCTGTCCTTACCACTGGACCTTCCTGGAAAGATTTCTACTCCGGCTCTCTTTGTCAGTGTGGCCAGGTGTACATGGCCTCAGGTATATATCACTGTTTTCCCTTGGTTAGCAAAGGAGCCAGAAGTTCCAGAGAGTGGCAACAGTGCCAGTAAAACAGTTCTCACCTCCTCTTCCAACCTTCCCAAGTGTCCCCCACGGATGGCAAAGAGGGTTTGAATGCCAGCCACGTTTCCCTGCTGGGACTGAAAATCCATTCCCTTCCTCTCTTATTGTCTGAATTCCTGCTCTTCATTCATGTCTTTCTTTAAAGAGGGGAGGGCTTTGGTTCTAGGGGAAGAAATATTGTTTAAGAATGTGAAATTGAGGTGTGAAATTCTGGGACTCTGTCAGTGGAGGAAAGGACAGGTACATATGAGGAAACAGACTACAATTCTTTGGACTTTTCTATGAGGATGGCTGTTTCCCAGCGTCATGTACTGAGAGAAGACTTAGGCCAGCTAACAGGTGGTAGCAGATTTAGTCTGAGGAATACTGTTCTATGTTTACGTCCCCATCCCTTCCCCAGTATGTGGTTGTGCTGAGGAATACTGTTCTATGTTTACGTCCCCATCCCTTCCCCAGTATGTGGTTGTGCTGAGGAATACTGGTTCTATGTTTACGACCCCATCCCTTCCCCAGTATGTGGTTGTGCTGAGGAATACTGTTCTATGTTTACGTCCCCATCCCTTCCCCAGTATGTGGTTGTGCTGAGGAATACTGGTTCTATGTTTACGACCCCATCCCTTCCCCAGTATGTGGTTGTGCTGAGGAATACTGTTCTATGTTTACGACCCCATCCCTTCCCCAGTATGTGGTTGTGGCTGGGTCATTTGTTCTGTCATTACGTGACAAATTATCTCAAACCTCTGTAACTCAGACTCCACTCATTATGATCAGTTTGAAAAGACTGGAGATAAAATTTATTATTGACTACAAAATTCACGGAAGACAGTGAGTTGATTATTATTGTGAGGTTGTAGAGAGATAATTGGTGAGGAAGAATATTTTCTGGCAGTGTGATATATGTTAAGTGTCTGATAATTAAAGTGTTTTCTAATTAGCACGCATATGCATTATTTATTTATTCAACAGGTACCTATTCAGCATCTTCTGTGTGTCAGGCCCTGTTCTGGGTGCTGTTGTTGTTAGGTGCCACCGGGTCGATTTCGACTCACAGCAACCCTGTGTACAACAGAACGAAACGCTGCCCAATCCCGCACCATCCTCACAATTGTTGCTGTGTTTGAGCCCATTGTAGACTCTACTTTGAGGAGGCAGCTCTTCCCCAGTCGTATTTTGAGTGCCTTCCAACCTGAGGGGCTCATCTTCAGCACTGTATCAGACAATGTTCTGCTCCTATCCATAGAGTTTTCACTGGCTAATTATTTTTCAGGAGTAGATCGCCAGGTCCTTTTTCCTGTCTTAGTCTGAAAGCTCCTTGGAAACCTGTCCACCATGGGTGACGCTGCTGGTATTTGAAATTCCACTGGCATAGCTTCCAGCATCACAGCAACATGCAAGCCCCCACAGAATGACAAACTGACAGACAAGTGGTGCTAGGGATAGAGAAAACAGTGAAGCCAACAGCACAAATCCCCGCCCTTGGTTAGGAGTAGAGAGGTAAACAGATAACAAAATAAAGTTCACGTCAGCTGCTGAAGAAGAATGTGGGAATAGGAGGTGCTGGGGAGACATTTCTGTATTAAAGAGCTGGCTGGTAAAATAAGCAGATAACATTTGGGGAGCGACCTGAAAGAGGTGAGGGAGGGCACCATGAGGATATCTGGGGAAAGAAAAGATGAAGCCTCTGAACAAGGAATCCTGTGTGACTGAACAGAGGTGGCCTGTGGTAAAAAGTAAACCATGAGGCCAGCACATGGCCCAGGCCTGGACCACATTTTGTAGAGTCTTGAAGAGGTTAGGCTTTTTACTACAACTCAGGTAGGAAGCTGCTGGCAGGTTTTGAGCAGGTGTTAAAAACAAGGGGAACAAAGGCGGAAGCAGAGACCAGTCAAAAGGTCTACCCCACTGCAGAAGACAGGGTAGCAGTCAAGGGAGTGAAACATGGTTGGCTCCTGACTGTTCTGAATGCCCAGCCAGCAGGACTTGCTCACAGATTGGATGTTGCACATGAAGAAAAGGAGGAGTCGTGTGAGCCAGCCCACTGTGCTCTGTCCGAGCAGATAGAAGTTGTTGTTTCCTGTGCTGCGAAGGCGCACGCCTGGAGTTTGAGATGCTTATTAGACACATAGTAGGGATGTGGAGGGAGTTGGATAGATGAGTCCAGACCTCAGGAGAGAGGTCTAGACTGAATTTGTAAATGTGGAAGTCATCAGTGTAGCAGAGAGACTCAGTAAAATTACCTGGGGACTAAGTGTAGATAAAGAAGAGGTACAAGGACTGAGTCCTTGGCCACTCAGACATTTTAAGAAGATAGGAAGAATCAGCAAAGGAGACTGAGTAGAAACAGCCAGTAATATAATACAGTGGCCCAGAAGCCAAATGAAACATTTCAAGGAGGAGAGAGGGAGAGAACAACCATGTCAAATGCTGCTGTGGATCAGTTAAATATTAATATACTGGGAACTGACCTTGGGTTTAGCAACATGGATGCTGCAGTGACCTTGACAAGAACAGTTCTGTTGAGTGATAGAAGCAAAAGCTTGGTAGGAGCGGGTGCAAGAGATATTAAAAGGGAGAAACTGGAGACAGAGTACATAAAAAGTTTTCTGAGGATCTTTGCTGGAAAGGGGCACAGAGAAATGGGTCAGTTGCTCGGTCAGGATGTGAGGTTAAGAAAGGATGGCTGTGAGCCAATGGGAACGGTCCAGGAGGGAGAATTGCTGGAGCAATGACCATGTGCAGGCAGGAGGGGAGGAATCTAGTGCAGGAGGGAACCTGCTGGCCCTGGATGGCAGCTCAGACAGTTCGTCCATAGTGACAGGAAGGAAGGCCACGCACAGAGCCCAGATACAGGCAGGCGGTTAGATGCCGAGGTGTGAACTCGTGGAAGCTCTTTGCCAGTCAGTTTTATTTTCTTGGTGTTTAGGAAGCAAGGTCATCAGTTGACAGTGAAGATGAGGGAGGAGGTGTTAAAGGTTTGGTGAGAGAGAAGACACAAGGTAGTGTTCTAAAAGAGTAGGAAAATAAGTGCCTGCCTGCCTGGCCACGTAGCACTAAAGGACCACTTGAAGTTGGTAGTCATGTTTTAAAGTGAGACTCAGCATGTTTGTATATTTTTTTCTGCAGTCACTTTCAGCCCCATAAGTACAGGCATGAAATAGACCAGTGATTCTCAACAAGGGATTTTCCTCTATCCCAGGGATGTTTAATAATGTCTCTAGACAGTTTTGGTTGTCACAGTGGGGGAGGTGCTACTAGCATCTAGTGGGTTAGAGGTCAGGGATGCTGCTAAACATCCTACAGTGCACAGGGCAGCTCCCCACAACAAAGAATGACCCAGTTCAAATTATCAGTAAAGACATTGTTGAGACCCTGGAGTAGACGAAGAGTTGGGTTGGGGTTTGCTGGATGAACATGACAGAGGGTGGACCATGCAAGTGAGTGGACTGTGGCATGTGGTTGGGTAAGGAGGGCAGTGAGGGACAGTATAAAGGTAGGAAGATTGTAAATCTCAGTAGCATCAAACAATTGTTGGACATGGGGTCCTGAAAGGAGCAAGTTGAAGAAAAGACAGGTGGTGGCAGTCAGATAATAGGATGCTGAAAAGTGAGAAGACAGTTTTCGGTAGGGACAAGGTCTAGGTTATAACCATGAGAGTGAGTGGCTGAGGTAGAGAATGAGATATTTAGAGGAAAAGAGGTCAAAGAACTGAAAGACCAGAATATTAGAAGGATCGTGTACGTGGATATTAAGATCACCAAGAACAGTGACCAGAGTAGTGTTGGAGAAAGTGAGGAATGGGGGAGTGAGTCCTGGGAGTAAGTAAAGGACTAAAGCAAGGATAGTAATGGTGACTCTGAAGCCATGAGATTCACAAGAATAAACCATTTCCAACATGCTTTTTCTTTTTACAAGTCTTCACTTACAAATGTTCAGAAATAGGCTACTAGTTAAGTGGATTATGCTAGATCCAGTGTTGTGCTGGAAAATGTTTCTGGCTCTGGTGGGGAGGTGGTTTGTAGCCTTTGCCGATTCCTGTAGTGTAAATGTTCTTGCCATGGGCAATTTCAAGCTACTATTGTGGTGTCACTGAAGACAGAGTTGGGAGAAGATGCAGAGAATCAACTCTCATGAGCCAGTAGGGATGGGTACTAGCACCCCTGGAATGTCCATAAACTGTCATACAATGCAGCCATCAAACATCTGGTTGCAGAGTAATTCTTATGTGATAAGGGAAGAGTTCATGGTGTATTAAGTGAAGGGGGAGAAAAGTGTAGTTCTGATAAGCATATGTGGTATCACCCCAATTATGTTAAACCTTAACGTGGGCATAGGAAGGATGTACAAAAAGTGTTAATAATGATTATTTCTGGTCTGTGGCATTGGGGTGATTTTTATTTTCTTCTGTGAAATTTTTTTTTTTATGATTTTTTTAATTCTTTGAACACGAACATATATAACATGATAACATGATTGCATCAATAGCTGTATTTAATTTAGTGCTTCTCAAAGTGTCTTTATTATTAAGTTGGTTATTTTACCTAAAGTAGCTCAGGAATAATTTACTATACCTTTTTTGGGGGATGGACTTATTTTTCAGATGAAGTTATTTTATAATATATATACTAAAAAAGTAAAAAAATGATCTCATAACTTAAATTTAGAAAAAGAAAAGAATGCAGGGGAGAAAACCATCTGATTCTTAATCACAAGATGAGGGTCTCACACCCCATTTTCAAAATAAAAATATGTTGCATTTTTAAAATATTTTAAAGATCCATATTCACATTACTCAATATTTTCATTCTTGTGGTATTTTCCATAACATACATAGTTTTATACCCAGCTTCTTTCTCATTAGAAGCATTTTTAGGTTTTCACATGTTCTCCATAGACTTTTTTCTTTAAATTTTTTTATTGTGCATTAGGTGAAAGTTTACTACTCCACAGATTTTTAATGACTGTAAAACATTACATAGTTATAGTGAAATATCCTTAATCTTTTTCCTATTGTATATTTAGTGTATGGCCTGTTTTTCACTTGAGATAATATATTAAGCCCTTAGCAATGTATCTACATAGGAGACCCAAAGTAAATGTTTGTTGAATTTGAGTAGATACTGCTGGGCTAAGCATCTTTACTCTTGTCCTAAGAGAACAGTGCAGCAGGAGAAAATCGATTCTTAGAAGTAGGATTTCTTGGTCAAAGTAACTATACAGATGTTTTCATGGCTCTTGCAAGGTGTTCAGTATTTTGCTTTCCAAAGTGGCTATACCATTTTCTAAAGTGCATTGCACATGTAAAATAGATTATCATGTGGGGACATCTCTTAAAATGTTTTTTCTTCCTTCTTCTCAAAAATAGCAAAGCCATCCCAAGAATCCGAATGACAAACACCGTAGCAAAAAGTGCAAAGACCCCAAACCGCGGGTAAAGAAGCTGAAGTACCACCAGTACATTCCACCGGATCAGAAAGGTGAGAAGAACGAGCCACAGATGGATTCCAACTACGCCCGCCTGCTCCAGCAGCAGCAACTGTTCCTGCAGCTGCAGATCCTGAGTCAACAACAGCAACACTACAACTACCAGACGATCCTGCCTGCGCCGCTCAAGTACGGGCTGGGGTCAATGCTATCTTCTCAAAGTGGATTTTACTGTGATGTTTTATGACGAGACATAAGTTACTAAAGGTCGGATGTTGTGATTTATTTGCACTCAACAATTCTTTTCATTTTATTGTCACCAAAGCTTATCCTACAGTGCCTGAAGTCAGCATAGTGAGAATGGCCCACGTTCCAGTCCAGTGTCTTCCCTCCAAAATAGATTCTGAACTTTCCAAGTGAGAAATGCCTTTCATCTATTATATACTCAAAACAGTACTAGATGCTGTGAGGAAAACATAAAAAGTATAAAGCTTGGTATAAACAAGGCAAAAAGATGAATGGGCGTAAAAGCTGGATAGGTCGAGGAAAGCTTTGTGAAAAAGGCAGAATTTAAAGGAGCCCTGGTGGCATAATGGTTAAGTGCTCAGCTGCTAACCAAAAGGTGAATGGTTTGAACCCACCAGCTGCTCCACAGGAGAAACGACCCCCCGTCAATATTACAGCCTAGGAAATCCTATGGGGCAGTTCTGCTCTGTTTTATAGGAAATCCTGTGGGGCAGCTCTGCTCTGTTTCATAGGAAATCCTATGGGGCAGTTCTG